CCTCCTTCTCCGGCAGAGCATCTGGTGGATTTGAACCGTGTTCCTCTGGGAGTGCAGTGCAGCTTCTTGCCACTAGGCCACCAGAGCTCCCCTTCAATGTTAGTATTTTAATCAAAGTAATCTCTGTATGTATAATTTGAAAAGTATAGACGTATAAAGCATGGAATTATAAATAATGAGTCTTTTACTTTATACTCTCCCACTCCGAAAAGTATAAAGCAATGCCTTACACCACTTTTTAAAAAAAGATTTAATTAGTAAATATAATATAAAATGGTCTTAAGGGGTACAGATTGAAAGGTTGGCAGTTTTGATTCCTCCAACAACTCTGTCAAAGACAGTCCTGCTAAACTGTTTTGTAAAGAGGATAGCCAAGAAAATGCTATAGAATAGTTCTACTCTGTGACACGTGGAATTTGTATATTCTCTTCCCACGATATGATGTGTATTAATTTTCTTGACTGCTCAAAAAAAAAAAAAAGGATTGTAAACTGGGTTGGATAGAAATTTAGCCTTTTGTAGTTCTAGAGGTTAGAATTGGACAAATATCAAGGTGTTGGCTCATTGTGAAGGCTCTGGGGAAGAATCTGTACCATGTTTCTTTTTTTTTTTAAATTTTTTTATTTTATTTTGCTGTTTTCTGTGTGTGTGTACTGTCAAATTGGGTCTGACTGGTACAGGAGGAGATTGCCCCTCCTTCTCCAGCAGAACATCTGGTGGATTTGAACCACATTTCTCTGGGATTGCAGTGCAGCTTCTTGACACTAGGCCACCAGAGCTCCCCTGTACCATGTTTCTTACCTAGAGTCTCTTTAGATGCCACCATTCTTGGTGTTTCTTGACTCTTAGAGTGCATACTCCAGTTTCTGGACTCACAGTTTGCTTTCCCTGTGTCTCTAAACCTAACATTTACTACAACATTTACTAGATTATTTCATTGTAATCTCATTTTAACTTGATTGTATCTACAGAGAACGCAGACTCACTGCTTTAAGTTGGTTCTGACTCATAGCAGCCCTCTATCGGGGCTTGAGGCTGTCAATCACAATGGGAAGAAGCTTCCATCTTTCTTTTATGGAGCTGTTTGTGGATCTGATGAAGATGTGCAATCTTTGGGTTAACAGCACAACTAGACTTACCCAAATAAGATCATATCCATTCACAGGCACTGGGTGATGGAATTGGAATATATTTTTGGGAACAAAATTGAATTCATGACACTGCTTAACATTTTTTAAGTTTTTTCATGCTTTTCTAAATTTTGTAAGTTCTTTCCTGTTTTTCAAGAGTAAACTAATAATACCTTTTATGATTTTCTGAATAGCATTTGGCAGCTTTGGTAGTGCAGTTCATAGGGAGTTTTGTGCTGTTAGCAAAAGGATATACGTCTATGGCAGTTTGAATGTTCTCCCAGTTCCTTGAGAGAAAAAATGGACAATTTCCTTCTGTGCAATTTACAGCTTTGGAAACAATGGAGGATCAGCTATGAGTTGGTTCTGACCCAATAGCTATGTGTGCACAAAGAAACATGGTGTAATTAATAACTACAAATTGTGCATCAAATGTTCTATGTCTAAAGTTATCTTATTTGTTTTGCAAGATTGCTGAGTTTGGGGGATTATTTCTATATATCTTTTAATTATGAAAAGATTTCATTTTCTTTACATGAGTTAATCTATATTAACTTTTTTTAAATGTAGAAAAATCCAGTTACACTCTTGAAGGAATTGTCAGCAATAAAGTCTCGCTATCAGACTTTGCATGCACGCTTTAAACCACTTGCTGATGAACAGAAAGAGACTAAGGGCCGGATTTGTGTTACTTTGAAAAAGACTATGACCATGATACAAGAACTACAAAAGCTAACAGACCTAGAGGTAATGCTTTCATTTTTATAGTGATTTTGTTTATGTTATTGTTGTTTATGCACAAGAGAAAGTAAACAATGTAAGGTATATTTTTGCAGCAATATTTATTATTGAGAATGATTTTCCGTTTGTAAGTTTATTCTGAGAAGTACTTGTGCCGATAATAATAAGAATAATTACAAAGGTGGCATCGAAAGTACTAAAGAACATCTCCCACAAAAAAAGATGGGAGCACCTAAAATAATAATAATAAAGAAATCAAGTGCAACAAATAAGGCAGAACATATTCAAAGTGTGTGGTGGTCCTTTTGTACTAGAAAACCTTCAAGTAAAAGTAAAGAAAGCTCTTCAAAGTTTCGAATAGTTAACTAGATCTTAATATCTCGAAAAATTCTTTGAAGGTTATTGAACAGATTGTCTAAAAACTCATTATTTCAAGACTTGACTTGTGAGGATATGAAGCAACATAGGTTTGTGGAGAACAAACAATTCTTGCCAGAATAATTCTGTTTCCTTTTTTTTAAGGGAAGAAGGCAAGATTTGAGTTGCAATACGACATAGGATTTTATCCATGTGAACATTTTGGTCAAATATGGTCTTGTTTAGTAGTTGCCTAAACTGGCCATATATTAAAAGCATATAGGTTCTGGAGCTCTTCCTCTCGAGTCATACTGTTCAATAGCCAGTTGGGTGTAGAAATTAATTTGTATAGTGCCTTCAATGCTTTAACTTTTAGTTCATTAGCTAATAACTTAATAGTGCAGATACAGAATATTCCCAGCATCACGGGGAGTTCTGTTAAATAGTGTTGCCCTAGAGATTGATTCTGAAGGTCTGGTTTGCTCCAGATTTGACAGTCTCTTTAGAGATGACCTATATAGTTAGGCAGATTTATAACTGAGTGGCTCTTCAGTTAATAGCTTATTTTCCCATAGAAATTTTTCTTTTAGCTAGCCTATTTTGTGAAGGGTGTTCTGTGAAAGTTCCTCGACAACTTCCCTTCTTCCTCTGTGTTTTTTGCTCCTATCTACTTTTAGTGGGTCTTGTTGGCTGGTTGGTTTTTAAGCACCTATTATCTCTTGTTGCCTGACAAAAAACACTGAGTTTTTCAGAACTGTGCCTTCTCACACAGTTATGTGCCTGATATGAAACTGAATTTCACCTCAGCTCCTGAATGGCAAGGGGAATGGACTTTTCCTTTATCTAATATTAGTTTAGAAATGGACCCAATGGCATTCAAGGATGGAATCTCTGAGTGGATAACTAGAATTGCCTCACTGTTTTTTTTTTTGTTTTTTGTTTTTGTTTTTTTTTTATTGCCTCACTGTTGAGACACTTGTGGAAAAGGAAAGTATCTTTCTTTAGATGTTGTGTACAGATGTGATGCCTAGCACTGCTAGAGCTATTTTGTAGTTAGCCTGAGGATAATATTACCATCAAGGGTATCTAAAGCTGTAAGGTGGGAACAAAGTAAGACTTGACTTTGTTGATCTAAATAAGTCAACTTTGAAGTCTGCCCACTATTTACAGATATGGTCAAGTTTAAAAGACCAGGTTGTTATGTGAAAATTCGAATTATGTAAAAATGGAGGATGAACAAATCAGATCACAAAATGTAGGATGACTAAACATCATTACATAACTGGAATGAATGAATGAAGATTGCATCATTCATTACCTAACTGGCAACTGCTGAAATGTCTTTGCCCAGCCAAGGTGACCCATAAACTTAATCATTACAGTCAACATTATTCTTGCCTTTGCATTTTTTTAATTGCTAAATGTGCACTGATACTATGTAGAAGAGTTGGGTGTGGGGGGAGGGGTGCAACTGAGAATTTAAAATGTTAGGTAATGAGATAGTGGATAATCGAGGAATAGGTGTTAAAAACTTTTTTGGAACCATTTTGAAATGTTTCTATTACTTACAACTGAAAATAATATATCTCTTAGAATCTATCTCTACTTCTCTTGAAAAACTTCCAGATATTTTTATTCTCAATCTTTTTGTTTTCATAATACTGTTGGAAAGTGGCATTGAAATGTAATTTCATTGCTTAACAATAGTCTTAACATTTGAAAGTTTGATTTCTTGATTTTGTTTCCTTAATTGCAGATTTCTTGAAAGCTCAAATGTCAAACCAATTTGTATATAGATAGCCAATTATCTATTTTTGTATGCTTTTCTAAATTTGTCATCAGTACATAGTGTATATGTACAACTGTTTCTATAGTTTATGGAAACTTTCGTTACTGTGTCAAAGTGAAAGTTAATAAAACAAATTTAATAGCTTTTAAATGTTTTTAAACTAAAGATTTTATTATTTGCTCTTTTAGTTGTCACCACTGACTGAAGAAGAGAAAACTTTGGAAAAACAGTTTAAGTCTTACATGCCAGACTTGTGAAGAAACAGACTTGCAAAATAGAGGACTCAAACAGATCAATTCCAGAATCATTTAGGAAGGTGGATTGCCAATACTTACTGAAGCTTGGGTGGATGACTGGATAGTGATCCTTTTTAAAGGACAGACAGATGTTAAGAGGAAATGCAGATATGTGGGTAAAGCATAGCTAGATAGATAGATATAGATATATAGATAGATATATAGATATATATGCACACATTTCCACTTAGTCTTAACGTTTCAAGTAATAAAATCTTTAAGCTATTTTTAATCAGTGTTCTTTAGATTTAATCAAGATGTATAATATGGATGTCTTGGTGTACTGTACAATGTTTTCATACATTATTAGTCAAACTATACTTCCAAAATAAAAAATGTTTGTGTTGTGCGTATGTTTCCCTTTTTTAAACTGTTGCATGATTGTTGTTGAGACGGCTAATGCCTGATACGTAACGTATGTTGTTATGTGTCATAGAGGTGACCACATGTACCATGAAACCCTGCTGGATCTTGCACGGTCCTTAGTCTGTGCTGTGCTGAAGTCACTGTTTTAGTTGCTGTGACAATCCATCTGAGTTTCTCTTTTATTGACTCTACTTTTCCAAGCATGATGCCTTTCTCTCTGGGCTGACTTTTCTTAGTAATATGCCCAAAGTCTGCTTAACTGACGTAATACGCTTTTTTCTTTGACAGCTTCCTTCATTTTTATTTACACTTCCTAATGCTGAGCAGCATGAACTGTTTTCAAATGTTGCTTTAGAGTACCCATGTACTTCAGTACTACTTTATCCTTCATCTTAAACTACTGTAATTGTTCATAATATATGCAGAATAGATCATCTGAGAGGCTGGACTCTGAGGAGGAATGTGGTGTCAAGATTGGATTATTATTATCTGCATTATTCAGATGACACAGCCTTGCTTGCTGAAACTGAGGAGGAAGGACCTGAAGCATTTGCTGCAGAAGGTCAAGGACTACAGCTTTAAATATGGATTGTGGCTCAACATCAAGAAAACAAAGATTCTCACCACTGGACCAATTGGCAGCATCATGATAGATGGCGAAGATGGTGAAGAAATTGAGATTGTTAACAGCTTTAGTTTGCTTAGCTCCACAATTAACACTCTTGGTACCAGGAGCCAGGAAATAAAAAATACAAATTGCACTGAGAAAATCTGCTGTCAAGGTCCTTTCCAGAGTACTGAAGAGTAACCATGTCAGACTGGAGACTAAAGTGCACCTGATCCAGGCTATAGTCTATGCAATTACTTGCTATGCTTCAGAAAGCTAGACTAGGGTTGACAGGAGAATTGATGCCTTTGAGCTGTGGTGCTGGAGAAAAATATTTTAATATATCATGGACTGATAGGAGAACAAACAAGTTCGTCCTAGAGAGTGGTAAAACCAGGTTGCTCACTGGAGGTAAGGATTCCTAAGCTTCATCTGACATACTTTAGGCTTGTTGCAAGGAGTCCTTGGAGAGGGACATGATGCTTGGGAGGGTGAAGGGGCTGAGAAAGAGAGGAAGACCCTTGATAAGATGGATTGATTCAGTGATTAGGGTAATGGGGGTAGCTGTGTCAGAGACATTAAGGTTAACACAGGGTAGAGCAGGGTTCAGAGTCGTACATAGGGTTGCTATGAGTTGCAAGTGACTTGATGGCACATAACAACAACAGTAATACTAATAGCTACTATGAAGCTCCATCTGACATAATTTGGACATGTTGCAAGGCAGGATCAGTCCTTGGAGAAGGACGTCATGCTTGACAGGGTAGAGGGACAGCACAGGAGAGGAAGACCTTTGATAAGATGGATTGATTCCATCCTTGGGGTAATGGGGATAGGCGTATCAGAGTAAGATTGGCAAGGGATAGATCAGGGTTTAGGGCTGTTGTACATGGGTCGCTATGAGTCTCAGGCAACTCAACGGCACATAACATAAGTGATGATAGTTGGAGAAAAGATTGAAATTGTCAATATTTAATTTTACTGGGATTGACAACACCCTTAGAATCAGCAGTCTGAAAATCAGGAGACATATTGCATATGGAGCGTCTTCTGTCAGAGGCCTTTTTAAATTACTGTGGAGCAATGATTCAGTTTGAAGACTAAGGTGTGTCTGATTCAGGCTGTGCTCTTTTCCATCACTTGCTTTGCATCTGAGACCTGGACAACAAGTACGGATAACAGAATAAGAATTGATGCCTTTAGATCTACGGTGCTTGAGAAGAGTACTGAGTATCTCGTGGACTGCTAAAAGAACAAACAGGTATGTCTCGGAGACAGTGTAACCTGAGGGCTCCTTAGAAACAAATATGACAAAACTTCATCTCACATATTTTGGGCATGTTGCTAGGAGGGGTTATTCTTTGGAAAGGGACATGATACTTGGAAAAGGGGAGGATCAGCAAAGGAAAGGAAGACCTTCAACCAGGTAGACTGATACAGTGACTGCAGCAATGGGCTCAAGTGTGTCAGATGATAAGATACAGGATAGACAGTGTTCAGATCTGTTATGCATAGGGTTGCTCTGGGTCATGCTTGGCAGCACCTAACAACAGTTATAAATGGTGAGGAAACTGAGCTTGTGAAGTATTCTTAGAGGCAATGAGAAACCAAATTACATACTGCATTGGGTGAATCTGGTACAGAAGACCTCTTGGAAATGTTAAAAAGCAAAAGATATCCTATGGATGATGAAGGTATGCCTGATTTAAGCCATATTATTTTTTTTCTGCTAATCCATATAGTAAAACATTGATATATTCAACAATTTCTACATGTACAACTCAGTGTTGATAGCTGCCCCTGAGTATGATTCATAGTCACCCTATGAACAAAAGATCTGAACCCTGTCATATCCAGTGCCATCCTCATCATCTCTAACATACTTGAGCCCAGAGATGCAGTTCCAGTGTTGATCCATCTCACTGAGAGTCTTCATCTCCTTCACTGACCCTCCACCTTTCTAAGCATGATAATCCTTTTCAAGGAATAGCCTCCCCTAACAACATCTTCAAAGTAAGTGAGGTGGAATTTCCTCATCGTTGCCTACAAGGGGCACTCTGACTACTTTTTCCAAGACAGACCTGTTTGCCCTTTTTGCAGTCTGTGGGATATTCCTGCCCTCCAAAACCACAACCCAGAGGCATCAGTTCTTTTCCTGTCATCCTTATTCACGGTCCAGCTCTGGAACACATAGCAAGTAATTGAAAATATCATGGCCTGAATTAGATGCACCTTAGTATTCTTGCAGCTGTGCAGCCATTTTGACCCTCTTTTTTTCTGAGTTGCTCCTCATTAAAAGAAACTCACTGTTTACTAAATTCCCTATTCAGTCTTCTCAAGCCACTGGTGTCACTGGTTAGCAGCACAATTCTCTATGGACTTCACCAGCAGAGTCCTCTGCTTTTGTAACTTTGATCCTTTCCAAATAGTTTTTAAAAGAGCATAATGCTCAAGGCAGACATTTTTTTTACCTGTTAAACTAATGTGTCATTTACTTTAAGATGATCTCATAGGATGTTTTAGGTGTGAAAATCTTGAGGCTGTAAGTTTAGGGATACATCCACTCCATGGGTCCAGAAAGTCTTAATTGTTCAGTAATGGTAGCGGGGTACCATTCAGTTCTGGTCTCATGGCAAAGGAGGCAGTGGTTTCTGGAGACCGTTGGACACTGTAGGGTAGTGGATTTATTGTTCAAAATGGCTTTCCTAGGCCATTGTCTTTGACTTGCACCATGTAGCTGAGGAGAAAATGCAAATAGGATGTGTTAAGTCTATCCATGAGAGGACTGGTCAATTTGCCCATTCTGCCAGATTTAAATTGATCAGGTTCTGTGGTAGAAATGATGACTCTACTAATAAAGAAGAAGCAGAGAATGCAGTTTATATCCTTGTGCCAGACATTCTTGTACCAGTCAAATGGGGCCCTACACAAAAGCCCCAAAAGCCAAGTGAAAAATCAAAGACCTCCTGCACCATCCAGTCAGAGACAGAAGCCTTTACCAAGCTTGCTAGAAGACTTGGTGGTGGTGGGGGGGGGGTGTTACTTAGTAATTTGCTTTGTGACAGTGGCCTAAAGCCTCAATGCTAAAAGCCTAAGGGTTTTGTTAGCACACTTAAGTAGCATTTGTGACTGAGAAGTGTACCAACCTGAGTTGTTAGCTGTAAACTTCCCTAATAAACCCCATAATTGTTAGTATGGTTCTGTGAGGTATAGCTATTGCAGTGGATTTTGGAAACAGTAGAGTGGTACCTAGAGCAGTATCAGGGAGCTCTGGAGGCTTAGGTGGAAGGGGGTTGTGTTGTTATGTACTATCGAGTCAGAACCAATTCATAGCTGACCCTCTAGTGGGTTTTTAGAGGCAGTAATAAGAGTGGTATTGGAATTGGTGGAAGTAGGTGCAGGAGTGTGGTAGTATGTCTGGCTTCATGGGAATTGATTGTGTAGTTCATATTCTCTGTGTGTGTGTGTGAGTGTGTGTGTGTTGATATTCTTGATGGGGACTATTCCCCTTGTGGAGTTAGCGGAGGTCAGACATGGCTTTCCCCACAACACTCACACTTTTTTTTTTTTTTTTGCAGCCATACATTCCATATTTTCTTATTCTTGGCTCTTTCTCTATTGCTTCAGGTGAATAGGGACCAGTTGGTGTGCTGTATGTAGATGGCTGCTTGGTAAGCTTTTTAAGTCCTAGGCACTATGAACAGAATTAGGAGTTAAAAACAAAACAAAACAAAACCCCCAAAAAACCATTAAATGTGCTATTTGACCAATTAACTGGGATGTCCCATGAAACCATGACTGGGCCTCCAAACTAAGAAACATCAGCCTCAGCCAGTTCAACTTTTTGCAGGTGTCCAAGACATAGTTTCAGTCAACTCGAATGCTTGTGAAAGTGAACATTGACGAGTTAGACCAAAGAAGACTATGATTCATATTGTTGAATATACCACAACTCCCAGAAAAATGAACAAAGCTATCCTAGAGAAATTACTGACATAATACTCTTTGGACATGTCATTATGAAGGAGTAAGCAGAAAGACATCACACTGTGTAAAGTAGAAGGTCACAATGAAAGGCAAGTCCTTCGGATATGAATTTGCATAGCGGCTCAAGCATCGCAATAAGGATGGATGGTTCAGACTGCATCATTTCGTTCAGTTGTACCTAAGGTCATTATGAGTTGGAACCAAAGTCACAGCACCTAACAGGGAACTGAATTCAGAGGAGTACTTATCTGCCACTTGTCAGTTGTGTTAGTTGGCCCGTTTTTAACATACAATTCAGCAGAATATAGTATACGTCTAATGGTGTGTAATCACTAGCTCTATCTGGGGCTTCACAACCATAAACACTTTTTAGTGAGAGTTTTTAAATTCCAAGTTTATCTTCCTAAATTATATCTTGATTCATGGCTAGGTTTGGGTTTTTTAAACAGTTGCTCTTACTTTTTAAAAACTGGTTTACATAAAGTTAATTCATATACATTGCATTTTATATCATTCATTACTGTTGATCTATTATCACCCCTTCAAGGCCTCATGGAATTTTCCCTATTCCTTTAAGACCTCCCTCCCCAATCACTTATGATGCCTGGTATTGAAGAACTTCTTTTTGTTGATTCTCTTAAAGGTGCACTCCAGATTGGGGTAAGTTTAACAGATTGATGTTCGGGAAAACTAACTTAATATTACAGAATTCTATTTATGCCTGTTGTGTTAGACCTTCAATATTTTCAATCTTCAAAGAGCTCATCTGCTAGTAATTTGTAAAGGCTGATGCCAGCTGTGTTGTTAAGTGTAGTCGAGTGGAGTACAACTCATAGAGACACTATGAACAAAAGATCTGAAACCTGTTCTATCCTGCGCCATCCTCACACTTCCTGACCCACAAGAGCCCACTGTGGCAGTCACCATGTCAATCACCTAGTTGAGGGTCTTCCTCTCCTTTACTGACCCTCCACCCTTTTACAGAATCATATGGTAGGGTTTTGTGTTGTTTTTTAAAAACACTTTTCCATATTCCCTAAAGCACGAGAGAATCAACCTAAGTACTAAGTACCAGAGTTTTGAGGGGTGACGTGTGAGTGGTGTCTTAGCCTGTGGCAAGAAACTACTCAGGTTTCAGAACCTGACAACTTTGGCTCCAAGCTGGTGAGACTCAATCCTCTAGGTTATTACCACTCATTACTTAATTCATCAACTCACTCAAAGCTGTGGAGTGAAAACCCACCTCTAGCTGACCCTTAGCAGGTTTTCAGAGGCTGTAAATCCCTAGTAGATCGGCTTTCTCCCGTGGACCTGAGGCTCCTACTTTGGGGTTAGCAGGGCAAGGCCTTAATTTACTAGGCCGCCAGAGTCGAATAGGCCTTATAAACCAAACTCACAATCGTGGAGTCGATTCTCACAGAGACCTCCCTATCAGGACTCTTAGGCCGTAAAACTTTACGGGAGACTGTTCATTTTTCTCCTGTGGAGCAGCCAACGGTTTTGATTCTCTGCACAACTTGTATGGTGCTGTAAAGAGCTCATGATAGTGATCCTATAGGACAGAGTAAAACTGCCCCAAGATTATAATCTTTACATACTGTCTTTATCCCAGAGCGCTAGGTAACTTCAAATGTTTGGATCAGCAGCTCAACACTTTCACCACTGCGTCACTAGGGCGCCAGGTAAGCGGGGTAGAAATCTTAGGCTTCCTTCCAGACAATGTCCAAAACCACGACCGCATTCTCAAAATGCGGACACAGAGTAGGCACGTAGGGAATGTTTGTTGAAAATGCAGGTTTCCTGGCCCGGTGAATCCGAGTAACTAGGGGTGTGGCTCCGAGGTCCTCATTTCCCGTCCAGCTTCCCAGGTGGCTTGCTTCTAAGGCGCGCAAAATTTTGAGACTCGCCGAGCACCGCCCCGCCCTTGGTGGGGTAGGACGCAACAAACCGCGACCGCCAAGCTGCGGACCCAGCCACCAACCCCGCGCAAAGCCGTCCTGCAGCAAAGGGCTGCCAAGTCTCGTACACGCCCCCGAGCCGCGGGAACCAAGCACCCGCCTCTCCCCTTGCCCTCCCGTAGGGGCAGTGCGCATGCGCGCCGCGTCTCCCCGCGCCGCCGCGCCTACAGCTGCCCTGGTTACCGTTGGTGTTTGCGAATACCCTGCAGCGATTTCTTTGCTTGAGGCGGGCTCTGCCATGCTCTAGCAGCAGTTCGAGACGCGCGCGCCCGCGTCACGTGGTCCTAGGAGCCTTCGCCGTCTGCGGCCGGCGGCCGGGTGAGGCTGGAGGAAGGAGTTGCGGCCACAGCTCGCCCTCTCAGCGCCCCCGGGACAGGCGCGAGGATAAAAATGGCGAAACAGGGGTAGCCAGCGCCGCACTCGCGGCGATGGGGCGCGCAGGTGGGGCGGCTGTCGGAGCCTCCTGACTTGGGCGCTGGGCTGTTCGCGGCGGATCTGACCTGGTGACCTCAAGCTGGTGCCTAATAGGTCAGACCACGGACTCCTCGGGTCGCCACGGGCCCCGCCGAGAGCCGGAGGCAATGGATGAACAGAGCGTGGAGGTGAGGGGGTTTGAGGAGGGTGGTAGTTGGTCTCTTCCCCGCCATCCTCGGGGCTTGCTTTCTTCCAGTGTATCTTGCGACTCCCTCCAGTAGGGCACCCTCACCCCGTCGCTCCGCAGTGGAGACGGCTGGCCCAGTGCGAAGGGGCGGTGCTGGTTCTGCAGCCCTCTGGGTCCCTTCAGCTCAAACCTTTCCGCAGTCAGGTGGTGCGTATCCTGGCATTTTCGAAGATGCCTTGGCACCAGGATTCAACCCTACAGGGTATTTCTTGGCAAAATACAGCCTGTGCAGAACAAAATTGCAAATTCATCTCATAGACTTGCTGCCAGTACTACGACCCACATCCTCCTGGATGGATGATCACTATTCCAACTCAGCGGGACATTTTGCAGACTTGTTCTGCTCTCCCTTGCTTGTATGGGGAAACATTCAGACTATCCCTTTTGACTGTGATTTCTAGAACAAACGGTTCTGTTTATATAGTCCAGTTAAGCTGTGATTCTAAATGGTTTGAATATTTTTAAAGACTAGGAACATAAAGATTCCGTTTAGTGGGCGTAATTATGTAGACGTTGCTCATTTTTAAGCTTCCAAATACTAAATCCTTGCTTCTTGGTAAGGTCTAGCTCTTGGCCCACATACCCCGAAACCACTAGATTGCCCATTTGAAAAATTAGTTCACCCAACGTTCTTATTGTCCACCCTGCAGTCAGTTACATACAGAATCTGCGTCTCACACGTTGGAGGCCCTGTAGAGTCATTAGTAGTTTTCTCTGTTCTACATGTCAAAGTTATAAAGGATTTGTAAACTTATTTTGGTTTTGTTATGTGTTTCCGAGTCACCTACCCTATATATAACAGCCCTATACCCTGCTCTATCCTGTCCCAGTCTTATTGTCTCTGACACACTTATCTCCATTATCCCAGTCACTGAAACAATCCATCTCATTGAATGTCTTCCTTTCTTGTGCTGTCCCTCCACCCTCCCAAGCATGACATCCGTCTTCAAGGACTAGTCCCTCCTTGCAGCATGTCCAGAATATGTCAGACAAAGCTTCAGAAGGAGCAGCCTGGTTTCACGCTCTCTAGGATGAACCTGTTTGTTCTCCTAGCCATGTAGAATGGTTTACTTTTCTGGAATGGAGCACATCAGTGGAAAAAAGGACAGAATTACAGTTTAATTATATATATTTCATTATTTTATCTTGCCAGTTGCATCTTTCATTGATTCATTTGCGGCCTGTGATGATAATATACTATTGCTTTAGTTTACGTATTTGTTTTTCTTCTGAAAGCCTCATAAAACTACTATGAAAATTCTTTCAAGAAGGTCAGAATCTCTACTCCAATAAATAGCAGTTTGGTGGCAGCTTCAAGGCAGAATCATTCTTAATTGTCTTTCTGGAACAAAGTACATTTCCGTTAGGATAAGAATAATGTATTTTAAAAAGATTGTGTTTTTAACTTTTTTTAAAATCATAAAAGTTAAGTATTCATATGCTTTCAATCATATGGGCTACTTTTTCTTAAGGTTTTTTCTGTATCAAATCATGAGAAATATTCCCAGTAACTATACCCTAGTCCATGTATAACTGCCATAATTGACTTAGTTATTATGCTAAGATTTGGACATTTGGGCCGTTGCCAGATTTTACCATTATGTTTAAAGTTTCAGTGACAATATCTATGTGTAAATTTTCATATCCTTGCCTTAGATTGGAACTGTTGTCACTCTTACCAAAAAGGAAGAAGGCTTTTTTCCCCCCCTTCACACATGTTCTGAGGTGCTCTGGACCATAACTCAGTCTTTATATGCAATGTAATGAAATCCGAGATGTTATTAGCCTAAAGTAAATATAAATGTTCAGTGAATTATTTGAGTATGCTTTTTCCTCTTCACTAAGTAGGCTAATATGGTGGACCATACATCTTTTGCTTTTTGCCAGAGCATTGCTGAGGTTTTCCGATGTTTTATTTGTATGGAGAAGTTGAGGGATGCACGCCTGTGTCCTCATTGTTCCAAGCTTTGTTGTTTCAGCTGTATCAGGGTAAGTTGTATTTCTTTTTTTATGTACATTTAATGCATATAGGATGTATTTGTAAAGCTTAATAATTTCCCTTCTACTTAATCTCTATCTGCAGCATTTTCATGACATATTCCATAAATGGTAACAACATCAAGCAATAAGAATAATTCATAACTATTGAATAATTCATAGCCGTTGAAATGTCTGAAGATAGTTCAGTGCTTCTGGAGACCATAAGCTCATTATGATTTTAATGTGTTTATGTTAAATTTCTTTTTCACTTGTTTAAAAGAAAAACTTGCTTAAATTTCTTTTTAATTTGTTACTACTGAAAAATTCAAGACTTGAGTTTCAGTACTTAGAGATATTCAGGGCAAAATCTTGAATGACACAGAAGTATCAAAAAAAGATGGAAGGAATACACAGAATCGCTGTACCAAAGAGAATTTACTGACACTCAAATATTTTAGGAAATACATATATGATCAAGAGCCAGTGGAAAGGCAGGAAAAAAATTAAGCTGCACTGAAGGCATTGGCAAAAAATAAAGCCCCAGGAATCAGTGGGGTACCAATTGACCTCTTTCATCTAATAGGTTCAGCCCTAGATGTGTTCACCAGTGTATGCCAGAAAATTTGGAGGACAGATACATGGCAAACTTACTGGAAGAGACCCATATTTGTTCCCATTCCCAAGAAAGTGATTCAACAGAATGTGGAAATCCTCAAAATCATTAACATGCAAGCAAAATATTGCTGAAATTTATTGAAAAATAGCTAAAACAAGACATAGAGAACTGCCAGAAGTTCAAGCTGGATTTAAAAGAGGTCATGGCATCAGGAATATCATTGCTGATGTCAGATGGATCCTGGCTGAAAGCAGAGAATACCAGAAAAATGTGTGTGCTTTTTTGACTGTGCAAAGGCGTTTGACTGTGTGGGTTATAACAAATTACCGCTAAACTGAGAAGAATGGGAATCCCAGGACACTTACTTGTGCTCAAGCAAAACCTATAACTAGACCAGAGTCTGTTGTGTGAACAAAGCAAAGGAACACTTGTTGTTGTTATGTGCAGTTGAGTCTCTTGTGACTCATAGTGATCTTATGTGCAAGAGCCTTAAACCTTGCTCTATTCTGTGCCAACGTTATTGTCTCTGACACACCTACCCCCATTGCCTCAGTAACTGAATCAATCCATCTCATCAAGGGTCTTCCTTTCCTGTGCTATTCCTCTACCCTCCCAAGCATGATGTCCCTCTCCAAGGATAAGTCCCTCCTTGTAACATGTCCAAAGTAAGTAAGACAAAGCTTTAGAATTCTTGCCTCCAAGGAGCAGCCTGATTTCACCTTCTCCAGGATGAACCTGTTTGTTCTCCTAGTAGTCCATAGTATATTCTACATTCTTTTCCAGAATGACAGCTCAAAGGCATGAGTTCTCTTTCTGTCATCCCTTGCCATTGTCCAGCTCTCTGACGCATAGCAAGCAGTTGCGAAGGCTATGGCCTGGATCAGGCTCACCTTAGTTTCCAGACTGATGTCGTAGCTCTTCAGTACTCTGGAACACTACATGGTTTAATATTGAGAAAGGAGTGGATCATGGTTGTATCCTTTCTCCAACCTTTATTATTCAGGTGATGTAGCTTTGCTTGCTTAAAGTAAAGAGGACTTGAATTACTTGCTGTGGAAGATCAAAGAATACAGCCTTCGAAATGGGATGGATTGCATTTCAGCATCAAGAAAGCAAAAATTAACCTACAACCAGGAGAAGATAACATAGATGAATGGGATCTTCTAAGACTCAAATCCCTATGTACATCCAAAAACTTCTCCAGTAGGGTAAAAAGGGA